ACCATTTGAGGCATTTGGATGATAAACCGAGGTTAGAAGCCGAAAAAATGGAGCAAAACCGAAGAAAAGTGAAGATAAAGGCCTTAGAGAGTCTGCACGGACGTGCAAAGTATGGCATGTCCGTGCAGAAGTGTTCCAGCACGACCAGAAGCTCAGCACGTCCGTGCAGGATATTCAGCACGTCCGTGCCTGATCCTGCACGTCCGTGCAGTTTACTCAGCCCAAATCAGTTTCAAAACTGATTCTTCTGAACAAGGCCTGCACGTCCGTGCCATATTTGGCATGTCCGTGCAGGATGCCCTGGAAAAAAACAGTACCTTCTGCCTCCCAGGTGCACGTCCGTGCAGGTATAGTTGCACGTCCGTGCCAACCTCAGCACGTCCGTGCTGACCTGTAGCCGTGCCCGACTCTTGTTTTCTCCGTCCTTTTTATTTGGGGGTTTTTATAAATAACCCCTTGAGCTCATTTGTACGACAGCCAAGTTTTTAGTGCTTCCTCTTAGTTTGCAATTGTAGAAACACAAATATTCTCAAATCATTAGTTAGATTATAATTATTAGCTTGGAAATTTCATTCTCTATGATTGTAGAAGACAAGTTCCACCATTGATATTCAAGTTGAAGCTTCTAGTAACATTTTCTCACTCTTCTCTTCCATTTTAATTGCTTTGATTGTTAATTATCTTGCTTAATTCTTGTATGCTTAGATTGTTATTTAGCTTAATCTTTAGTTAATTCTTGTTCATGAGTTACTTGAAATCCTTAATTGCTTTAATCTCCATGGATTGTGAGTAGTCTAATTTTCCTTAATTACATTCCGTCGGAATTTTCCGACGGATTTTCTCTGGCCTGAAAATCGCTGCCGACAGATTGAATTCCGTCGGAAAAGCCGGTTTTCCTACAACATATATTCCGACGACCCGTTACGACGGAAATTCCGTCGAAAACCCCATTTCCGACAGAATTTAGGGTGTTTCCGACGGAAAAATTCCGTCGTTATTTGCATGTTTTCTAGTAGTGTCTTATTTTAACGAAACGTAATGATTTTGTTGAGATTTAGTTTTTTTTTTTTTTTTTTTTTTTTGGTGAAGTTGAGATTTAGTATATACAAAGTAAATGTTCATTGAAGTGGTGTCACTAGTAAACTTGTAATGCATTCTGATAACTTGTTATTTGATACGATTTTAGAGTGATTTCGAACCTTGTTTACTTGGTATATTGGCATTTTGGTTCACTTTTACTCTATTTTTGTTCAACTTTTGTGTATCCCTTGCTTCACGGGTTGTTAGTGTTTTAGTTGGGTTTTTAGGTTCAAAGACAACCATTTGAGGCATTTGGATGATAAACCGAGGTTAGAAGCCGAAAAAATGGAGCAAAACCGAAGAAAAGTGAAGATAAAGGCCTTAGAGAGTCTGCACGGACGTGCAAAGTATGGCATGTCCGTGCAGAAGTGTTCCAGCACGACCAGAAGCTCAGCACGTCCGTGCAGGATATTCAGCACGTCCGTGCCTGATCCTGCACGTCCGTGCAGTTTACTCAGCCCAAATCAGTTTCAAAACTGATTCTTCTGAACAAGGCCTGCACGTCCGTGCCATATTTGGCATGTCCGTGCAGGATGCCCTGGAAAAAAACAGTACCTTCTGCCTCCCAGGTGCACGTCCGTGCAGGTATAGTTGCACGTCCGTGCCAACCTCAGCACGTCCGTGCTGACCTGTAGCCGTGCCCGACTCTTGTTTTCTCCGTCCTTTTTATTTGGGGGTTTTTATAAATAACCCCTTGAGCTCATTTGTACGACAGCCAAGTTTTTAGTGCTTCCTCTTAGTTTGCAATTGTAGAAACACAAATATTCTCAAATCATTAGTTAGATTATAATTATTAGCTTGGAAATTTCATTCTCTATGATTGTAGAAGACAAGTTCCACCATTGATATTCAAGTTGAAGCTTCTAGTAACATTTTCTCACTCTTCTCTTCCATTTTAATTGCTTTGATTGTTAATTATCTTGCTTATGCTTTAATACTTGTTTTATGCTTTGTAACCACAAGAGTAGGTTGTATTCATAATTCGAGTAATCCCTCTAGCTTGAGAGAGTAGTTGGGTGCTTTAGATGACTTCCCCTATATTATCCCCTCAAATTACAATTGTTTGCTACTTGCTAATTGTGATTTGTGACGAAATTGAGTGGTATATCCCAAGCCCTAGAACTCTCCAAATATTGTTAATCTCCCCCTAGCTTTAGTTGACTTGAACTAGCACTTGTTACATAAAACCAAACCAATTTCGACTTCATTTAGCTTATTTATGCGGTAGTATTTCGGTGGTTGATTCAACGCCTCTCTTGGGTTCGACCCTTTCTTACCCTTGCTATTAGCTAGTGAGACCAAGATAGGACTTCATTTTTGGTAGGCTCGACGACGGCCTTTCACATTCGTTTCAAATTAACTGCATCATTTTTATTCTTGCGATATCTCCTTGACAAACATAAATACAAATGTTAGTATATCAAATGTTTTTAGATTTATTTCAATTATTTACAACATACAAAGAACTTTTCATGACAATTATTATATAGATAATTAGAGATATAAATGAATAAAACTGTTAATTAGATAGTGTAACTAACTAACAGTTAGTCGTTATATTTAGAGTGTTCTATTATTTACCTTTAAAAAACTAATCAAGGCTAAAGTTAAATCATGACTAATGAAATCCAATTAGGTGTACATATAACAAGAATAGAGGTAATAACCAAGATGTTTAAATTAAGTTTGAATACCTTCAGTCCTTCACGTGGAAATCAATCATAAGAGCATCTTAATGGTTATAGCTAGGGACTTGTTTACAATTTTTAAAATTCCCTAGCCACTAGCTTGACTATTTGAGCTTAAAAATAAATTTAGCTTATATATTTGCTTGAGAAAAAAAAACTTGTTAAAAAGAGGGGTTAATATATATTTTCCCCAACAAAGTATAGTTCATTAAATTACACTTTTTGTGAGTAGCTGAATGGATGTGTCCATAAACGTTGGAATAGCCACAAGATCCTTTTTCGGTATCAGAGCGCTTTATAACTTCAACAAAATCTAGCAATATGAGTCCAAAAGCTATTGCTTGACTGATTAATGTTAGTTTTGTCGTTAACTATATAAAATAAACTCTGTAATTTCACATGTATATCACTCGAGGTTTTTGTCCATTAATACCGCATGTCAACTAAATCTTTTCATCCATTTATTACCCTATATAAAGCACCCAATTATACTTCATCAACGACTAGGGTTTCCTTGGTGGCACAAGTACGTACCATGGGAATATTTTAATTCATTTCTTGTATTTCATGCTTTGAAAATCAAAATCAAACCACTTTAGGTGTATGTTCAAATGCAACTTACAAGTATACTAGGCTAGCTAACGCACACGATGCGTGTGCCATATCTAGTCATGTTCAAAAAGGATTTTCGATATAGCCTTATGCCATAACTTTAGTTGTTGGTAGGATTATAGAAGGAAATTAATTATATAAACAAATATGTTTAGGGGTTTAAATGTAAGCATGTTATTTTTAAGAATTTTTTTTTTAAAAAAATAGGCAATTAACATTAATGAGGGCAAATAAGTAAATAAACATTTTTAAGGGTATAATCATCTAAACACTATTCATAAGAACTAACTCAAACTTTTTAAAAGAGATTATGCATGCTTAGCTTCAATATTGAATTAGGTCATTGATGCATTGTTATCAATTGAATGCCATGTTTAATTTTTTTTAACCTTTTATATTATATATTTGAGTAATTATGTGACAATAACTAATTTATAAATAAGTTGTGTAGGGTTCTCACACGTAAGTTTATCATTTTTTTTTGCACTTAAAAAATACTCATTTAGAGCTTGTTCACATTTATAGAACTGAGCTGAATTGAACTGAACTAAATTGATTGGAGTTGAACTGAACTGAACTAAACTGAACGGAGCTGAAATGAATATTTTATGAGACAGGGAAATTAGGAGCTGAATTGGACTAGAATTAAGTAAATGGTGAACATATGCCCTTACATATTTTTAAGGGATGTTCATAAACTATATTTTAGTAGTTATATATATATATATGAGAATGAAAATACTATTTGAATAATTAGGGCCTGTTCACATTTACTAAAATGAGCTGAACTGAACTGAGCTGAACTGATTGGAGCTGAACTGAGCTGAACTAAACTGAATTAAACTGAACTGGGCTGAAATGAATATCTTATGAGAGAGGAAAATTAGGAGCTCAACTGAACTAATTGAAGCTGAACTGAACTAATTGAAGCTGAACTGAACTAAAACTAAGTAAATGTGAACAGACCCTTAATTTAATAAGTCATTATTGTAGTTTTAACTTCAATTTTGATCTCATAATTTTTTATTTAAATACCCACTGGTTAATTCATACTTGTAATATATGGTATTCTAGGATTTATTATTATTACTATCTTTTATTTTTTATTTTTTTTATTTTTTTTATACTCAAAATACTCATTATAATATAATGTATGTATTGGTCTTCAAATGCACCACATATATAATTAGTAGTCCATTTGTAGATTGTGGGCTTGTGGCTAACCCTTCAATAATCCGTCTTAATTATTATTTTAGTGTGTAAATATTAATAAAGTTGATTAGCCGTTGGCCCGTTGTTGCATGAATTAGGAGAAACATATATATCTATATAATTATCCGTGTTTGAAGGAGTAAAACTATCCCCAATTAGGGTCCTAAAATATAGTCAAAAGCTCAAAACTCTTTTTTGCTCGCTCTTACGAATGTTGTCTTGCATAAACAGTCAAAATCTTCAAACCTCTTATTTTTTGTTTTTCCTCTTCTCAAACTTATTTCTTGTCAAAATTTCCTAAAATGCGACCATCACTTGGAAAATATTGTTGAATTTTCATTCAAGAAATCAAAATGCAAGTAATTAATAATGGACCAACATGCTTACCTATGTGTATATATATATATGTACACACAACACACATCCACATAATTAATTCATACGTAAAATCATCATATCCTCAATATATAGAAAACAAAATTCACAAAACCAAATTGAAATTGTACAACTTAACTTTTGAAAAGGTGCAAAAAAACGTACAAGCTAGTACCATAAATAAAAGACCCTTGAATTCAAAGAAACACTAGCTAATTAGCCATGCAACGCTCAATGATATCAAAAAGCCTAGCCTCATCAACTCAAATCCTCCGTCCCTTAATTCGCGGTATTCCTCCATCTAACCCCAAACCACCATGTGATATATTCATCAACCATCGAGGGGTTGACACAAAGAGGACAATAGCCGGTCTTTTGTATCAGCATCTCTCAGGTCTTGGATACCACCCTTTCTTAGATAGCAAGAGTATGAAACCCGGGGATAATCTATTTGATAAGATTGACCCGACAATCAAGAATTGTAGGGTTGGGGTAGCGGTTTTTTCCCCACGTTATTGTGAATCGTACTTTTGTTTGCATGAACTCGCGTTGATGATGGAGTACAAGAAGAAGGTGGTGCCCATATTTTGTGATGTGAAGCCGTCGGAGCTCCGAGTTAAGGATAATGGAACTTGCTCTCCCAAGCAACTTGAGAGGTTTCATAGGAGTGTTGAAGAGGCTAAAAACATCGTTGGTCTAACATTTGATACCTCAAATGGGTAAGCTATATTATTTCTATATTTGTAGTACTATCTATATATAGTAATATTTGGTATATGCTTTTAATTAGTTTAGTAATTTAGAATGATATTAAGAATTTTTTTGTATGATATAATTGTTTAGAATATATAACAAGATAAAATTGATGAATTTGAGAGTAACGGATCATATATTATACTCCATAATAAAAATGAACTAGATTAGTTCTTACAAAAATAATAAAAAGACCAAATTAAATTAAAGTGTAATTGTATAGACTAATTAATTGAAATAGAATTTTAACAATAATAGTAATGCTTATCTTTCTTTGCAGAGACTGGTCAGAGTTTTTGACAAATGCAACAGAAACAATTCTTGGAAATTTGGTTGAAGCTGAAGAAGATGAGAAGTACTTTAAACATAATATAACCAATTATTATGAAGCAAATTTGGCAGAGAATTCTAACTAAATCAAAACCATTCTTTCTAAAACTTTTCTTCACTTTTATTTTTCTTTTGAGCATTGAAAAAATTCCTTTATTTATTCATTTATTAATTTTGACATTATTAACGACAATGACAAAATTTCTTGATTTCTTTGTAAAGTACTTTTGTAAAGCTAACACATAAATTCAAAAATTTAAATACTTCCAAGGACAATTATTTGTACTATATTGTTTTGGCGGCTACTTTTTTTTTATGTTCTTGTAATTATCATAAACACTAGAATACCTCATTTTTGTTTATGATCACTTAGATTCATTAATTATTTTTTTTTATTTTTTTATTGGCCAATGCCTCATTACTTGTAATAATGCAAAGATGTAAATGAAATTTATGAGATTTGTATTGAGAATAATTGTATAATTCGATTTGTCATAATTGAAGTATGTGTATTAATAATTTAATATTAACTACATTATCTTCTCTATTATGATATGAGTGACACGATCACATCATCACGGAATACTGAAGTTGAGGATATAGAGGTGTATGTACGTACAAAATTAGTTAATTTTTTCAATGATCTAACAATGTTTGTTATGATGTTTTATAGTATGAGTTTTTTTTTTCCTAGTATAATTAGCAATAACATGATTCTTCGTGAATTGTATTATTACAATAAAATGAAGAGAAATTTTATTCGACCCAATTGTTATAATGTCCAAGGTCCGAAATTAGTTCAGTATTCATTAATCTAAGTACGTAGTATTACATGATATGAGTTACTTAATATAAAGAGTATTTAATGTTTAAACATTTTTTTTTATGAAGTTAGGAGTATTTAAATCATACTCCGTATTTGTTTCCTTATTTTTCTGATCTTCAATATCTTCCTATTAATTAACTAGGGTTTTTAAAGGGTCAATAAGTCCTGCATTATATTTATATATCATCATTAGTTGTCATTACTATAAAATGCCACGTTAGCTCAAATAATTTTTTTTTTCATATTATACCAAAACACTTTAAATAAACAATCTGTAGTTGTAAATCCAGTGCTATTTTTTTGCTAATTCGGCAAAATCATTTTTTTTTTTTGAACGGGCAAAATCATTTTCAGAGCTAAATAAAACGAAAATTTATCTAAGCTAACGTAGTAACGTGCATTTCAAAGACACCTTAGTAAAACAGAAAAGGGAAATTCTACATAATACCCCTGAGGTATTGGCTATTCCACGTTGTGCCCCTCCCTTTGAAAAGTTCCACGTTGTAACCTCAAGGTTCCAAAAGTGATTAAGTTGTACCCTGTCGTTAGGGGTGTACACCGGTCCAAAACCGGACCGGACCTGGACCGGACCTGTTTGGACCGGGGACCTGAATTGGGTAATTATGAGGACCAGGGACCGGACCTGAATTAACAGGTCCGGTTCTGGGCCAGACCTGAAAAATCAGGTCCGGTCCGGGTTTGGACCTGAATGGACCTGTTTTGTGTCTTTTTCGTTTTTTTTTTTTTTAAATACAAAACCTGTTGGACCTGCATATGGACCTGTTTTGTGATTTTTAGACCTGTTGCATAATTTAATAATTACATACAAACCAAAATTATCAATTACAAAACTACATAAAGTCTATAAAGTCCCGATTCTCAAACACCAAAAATACAAATGAGTCCACCGAAAATACAAATAAGTCCACGAAAACTCAGTTTCAATTTTTCAGAGTTTGGTTTTCTTCTTCTTTTTTTTTTTTTTTTTTTTAATTACGATTTTCCCGGGTTTCAGGTCCGGACCTGAAAACCCCGGGTTTGGACCGGGTCCGGACCGGGACCGGGAACCTGGATTTTTAAGAACCGGGACCGGACCTGAATCAACAGGTCCGGGTCAGGTCCGGTCCGGTTCAGGTCCGGTTTCAGGTCCGGGCCAATTTTTGTACACCCCTACCTGTCGTTATCCTTCCATTACATGTTGCCGTTAGTGGGGCCCACTTTACACCTATTTAATTTTTTTCTCGATTTTCATGCTAAAAAAATGTCCCATTAAAGGTTTTAAGGGTAATTTTAGGGCTAAAAGGGACCAAATTGAGCTTGGAATTTGCAAAAAAAAAAAAAAAAACCGTAAAAGCCTCGTTTTGTGAATTAGAATTCTTATAGTTAAATTAAAAATTCATAAAACGGGGCTTTTACGTTACTTTTTTTTGCAAAATTCGAGCTCAATTTGGTCCCTTAAAAGCTAAAATGAACCCTTAAAACCTTTAATGGGACATTATTAAGCACGAAAATCGAGAAAAAAAATAAATAGGTGTGAAGTAGGCCCCACTAACGGCAATATGTAACGGAGGGATAACGGCAGGGGTACAGCTTAATCACTTTTGGGACCTTGAGGTTACAGCGTGGAACTTTTCAAAGGGAGGGGTATAACGTGGAATAGTCAATACCTCAGGGGTATGATGTAGAATTTCCCAACAGAAAATTTCAACACCCCTTCATGGTTCTCAACTTCTCACCTCTATGCTTGTATAACTGGGTTTTTTTTATTTTTATTTTTATTTTTTATAAAGAGCAAGAGTAGCACCAAATTTTAGATAATGTATTAAAAAAAAAATTAGAAAATAACACCACAAATTTCTCGAAATTTTGATTATAAAACCTCATATTCTAAAACTTTTATTATAACACCACAAAAAAAATCCCAAAAAGTGGATTTCACCACCAATTGACGGATTTTTGGATGGAATCCGTTAGTGAGACCCACTATGGACACGTGTCAATAAGACATTGGTTTTTTTAAAAAATAAAATTATAAACAAAAATTAAAATAAATAAATAAAAAAAAACTCTAAACTCTAACCCAGCCACCAGCCCACCACCGGCGACCTTAACCCCACCGCTGGCAACCCAATCCCAGCCTCCGGGACCACCACCTAACCCCCATAGCCCAGCCGAACCCACCACCTAACCCCCATAGCCCAGCCAAAACCCCATTATTACCTACCAGCTGAACCCACTACAACCCCGAAACCACCACCTAACCTTCGACAAACCCCTTCGCCCACCAGCCAAACCCACCACAGCCACACCGCGAATCCCACTAAAACCATCAATGGCAACCCACCATCTTCACGTTCCCTCTTTGATTCCTAGTCGCGAAAACCATAACGCACCCTCTTTTCATTCTCTCTCTGACCTCGCGCTCCGACGAAGCTACGGTACGGTTTCGATTACCCGGGGCTGTGGACCTCGATCTAGAGAGTGGGGCTGGTGGGCGATTGGGTTTAACGGGGGTTGGTGGTATTTCGAAGGTTAAGGAGGAGGTTTCGGTGAGGGTGGTGGATGTGTGGGCTTGCCGGTGATGGGTTATAGGGCTGTCGGAGAGGTGAGGGTGGTGGTTGGGTTAAGGTTTGAAGTGTTTTTTCTTTTTTTAAAAAATCAAATAGAATAGTTACATGTGTTTGTTGTGGGGCCCACTAACGATTTTTTGGATGATTTTTGTTAGATGGTGGTGAAATCAATCTTTTTGGTTTTTATGTGATGTTATAATAAAAGTTTTGAATTAGGTGGTGTTATATTCTAATTTTTGAGAATTTTATGGTGTTTTTTTTTCTGATTTTTCTTAAAAAAAAAAAAAACAAAATCCGAAAAATCCCTCTATATATACTCCTGTCATTTTCACTAACTTTACACAGAAGAGTAATACCATAACTAATAACTAGGGGCTTGTTTGGCATCATTTTTGATTTTCAGTTTCCTGTTTTTTTTAAACTTAAAACATGAAATAAGAAAATGGTGTTTTCACTTTTCTGTTGTCTGTTTTCAAAATTATGATGATTTTAATAAGTTTAAATAATTTTTGATTCATTATGGGACATATATCATATACTTTTAAAAAATTAAAAAAAAAACAAAAAACTAAAAAACAGAAAACAGAAAACTACAACAACGCCAAACTAGGGTGTTGTAAAAAAAATAACTAGGGTAGAGAGCCATGCAACGTTCAATTATCACCAAAGGCCTAGCCTCAGCTAACAAAGTCCTCCGCCTTTCCGACCACCCTTCAACCCAATTACGACCCTACGACATGTTCATCAACCATTGAGGGACTGATACAAAGAAGACCATCGATGGTCTTCTGTATCACCATCTTTCGGGTCTTGGATACCACCCCTTTCTAGATAGTAAGAGCATGAAGCCCGGGGATAGGCTCTTTGAGAAAATCAACCCTGCAGTCAAGGAGTCTAGGGTTGGGGGGGCATCTGAAAATTATTGTAACTCTTATCTTTGTTTGCATGAACTTGCCTTGATGTTAGAGTGCAAGAAGAGGATTGTGCCAATTTTTTGTGATGTGAATCCAAGTTATTGTTGATGGTACTTGAGCTAGAAATGAAATTGAAAGGTTTGGTCAAGCTATTGAGGAATGTCAAGCTATTGAGGAATGTAGATACATTGTTGGGGTATCATATGATAGTAAGAAAAATGGGTTAGTCCTACATTAAAAAAAAATTATTTTATTTCAAATGAAAAAAAAAATTATTTAATGTAATTTTTAAAATAAATTTTTCTGGTAAAATTGTTGTAAAATATTTAATTTAACTCCTTTCCACATTTCCTCTTGTTTTACATGCAATTTGGGGTGGTAACAATTTCTTCATTAATTGCATTTAGATTGGACTTCCAACAATGAACTGAATAAAGCTAGTCATATAACCCCTCTTTGAAGTTTGAACAAATATATTATTGGGCTTGAAAAATTGTATTCACTTAATTTTTTTCATTTAGTTGCATTATTGGTTTCGTTCACTAATAGGTCTTCATTCTTTTTAAGATAAATAATAAAGGATCATGATCTTCATTAATGCCTTTTTAATTTCATACATGATTAAGTTACTTTGTGGTAAAATCCGTGACCTTATTAGTTCATTTCCTACCCTTTAGCCGGCCGATATATACAAAGTTAAAAATTATTTGAGTTCAACTTATTCAACTCAAACTAAACACATTATTAGCTGAAAAGTAACAACGATAAGATGATCGTTAGTGAGAGCGAGGGATAC